TATATTTTTTATAGTTTTATTGTCAAACTTAGTTAATAAATTATTTCTTATATTATATTTAATTGTGAAATTATTTTATTTTATTTTTACATATGAAATGAGATGGGTCGGAAAAAACCTAAATTTAAGACTCGGGTTACCCGTTTACCCGATGAAAACTCACTAACCCGCCGGGTAAAACTCAACCCGAACCCAAAGATCACTAGCCGAATAACGGGTCGGGTTTGAATAGGGTAAATTATATGTGGGTCGAGTTCGGGTTTACCAAAACCCGTACCCAACCCGACCCATTTACATCCCTAAGTGCGCTCACGAGCCTACTGTTCGCGAAGTTGAAACTCACCAAAAAAAAATAAAAAATCCATCCATAATAAAATGCTAGCCACATTGCGCCGGTCCGGATTTCAGCCGTCCATCGTCCTCATGCACAAACTTCCCCAAACCACCTGATAGGCTCCCACTCGCTCACTCCACTTCAATTTCTTCACCACCACCCAACCATCCCCACCCTCCACAGCGAAGATGGAGGCCGTCGGGGTCCTGATGATGTGCCCGATGAACAAGTACCTGGAGCAGGAGCTCGACAAGCGATTCAGGCTCCTGCGGTACTGGACTCAGACTAAGCAGACGGATTTCGTGGCTCAGCACGCCCACTCGATCCGCGCCGTGGTGGTGAACCCCGCCGCCGTCGTCACCGCCGAGTTAATAGATGCGCTGCCGAAATTGGAGATTGTGTCGACCTTCAGCGTGGGATTGGATAAGATCGACCTGGCCAAGTGCAGGGAGAAGGGGATTAGGGTTACAAACACCCCCGATGTGCTGACGGATGACGTGGCGGACCTGGCAATCGGGCTGATGCTGGCTGTGTTGAGGAGGATTTGCGAATGTGATAGGTATGTGAGGAGAGGGGCCTGGAAAAATGGTGCTTTCAAGTTGGCATCTAAGGTACTTATCCCTTCATTTTACATGTATTCATGTTACTGCAATAAGCTCGTTCTTTATTTAATAAAAATCTAATAAGTACTAAGTAGTTGGTCTTTTTCATGGGGTGAATGTGGTTTGAGGCTTATGGTATAGCCTAAAGGTTGCATTTGGAAGGGACTTTGATTTTGTGTTGTCAATCGTTGTTTCACTCTGCATTGCAACTTGACATGATGACTGACATTTGGGATTCATGGAAGTTGTTGAGCCTTGTTATCATTCAATCGAGTGGAATGTGAAGAGGGACAGGAAACTTGATACCATTTGGAGCTGTGATTTGAGGGAGTAGAAGAATAGTGATTTTAGGAGGAGATTAGAAAGATTATATTGATCTCTTTCACCGAATAGAATGGGAGAAGATTTTTTCGTTACTTGTTACAATGATGATCAATATTTCAGTTAATACATTGTGATAATGGTTTGTCGTTACTAGTTGCTTTGATGATTGGCATTTCAGTTTTGCAGTAAGTTGAAGTTCAAATGCTGTCAAAAAATTACCAAAGACTGCAGGATGTGTTTCTGTGCCTTTTACCAAATGTGAATTTGCTTATAATTTCTTAGCTGGTTTTCTTTACTTAGTTCTTTGTGATCAAAGGCTATCTTGATAATGACTAAAATTTGTGAAAACTAAGAACATTCAAGGTGAGGGAAAACCTCATTTTCTGTATATCATCAGAACAAAATGAAGAAGACGACAATATGTAGTGTACGTACACACACGTGCTACATGCACACTAAATGAAACGACGTCTTAGTCATAATATAAAATGGGAAAAATAAAAGAGTCGCACATGCGACTTTGTCTAGTAAAGAAAACTGTAAAAATACATGTAAAGAACTAAAACAGAAAATGATTAATGCAATGCAAAGGGATGCAAAGGGAGTGATAACTCCAACAAAATTGCTTAACTTCGCTCCTTTGAGAATAATTGAACTCTGTATATTATGAGTAAACGTACTGTCAAACTTACTATTTTGGCTGTAGCAGTTGTCAGATTTTTCAAGTTCTGTGATAACTAGTCTTCAACTTAACATGGCTCACAGTAAATTTTTGTATGTGTGCTCTTGGACCCCCTGCCTCACATTATTTTTTATGATATTTCCATGTAACGAAGGCATCAAAAAGAAATGTTTCGAGCATAAATAAGAAGACATTTCACTTGTGCTTGCATTCCCTTACATTTTTTTATCGTTATTATCTCATTTTGTGTTTTGTATTGTAAATGCCGCAACAATAAAGTTATGGACGTTGAAGCTTTTCAAAAGAGAACAAAAAAATTTTATGGAAGTTTGAAGATCACTGTACATGGCAATATTGTACGAAACAATTGTGATGTTCTTTGGGGAGAAATAACGGCAAAAGAACGACAATAAGTTTAAAATTACCTAAGTCACTCCTAAGTCTGATTCTGTATTAAATGCAAAATGTTTCTGCTTATGAAGGTTGAGTAAAGCTAGGGACGTTTTGCTAATTTCGAGAATATCTGTATTCTTTTTTTTGGAGTCGGGCTAAATTTCATGGATAGTTCTTCTAAATCCACCTTTTTCTTTGCTTTGTATTCACTAGTGATTTGACGTTGTACTTATGTATGGTCCGGCTTCCTTAACTCACGACTCGTCTTATACATTGCATCTTGCAGTTCAGCGGAAAAAGAGTGGGCATCATAGGTTTGGGCCGGATCGGGCAGGCAATCGCCCAGCGGGCTGAAGGGTTTGACTGCCCCATCAGCTACTACTCGAGATCCAAGAAAGCAAACACAAACTACTAATACTACAAAACCGTTGTCGAGCTGGCCTCCAATTGCGACATCCTGGTCGTGGCCTGCGCTTTAACCCCCGAGACAACTCACGTCGTGAACCGGGAGGTTATTGAGGCGCTTGGCCCGAACGGGGTCCTCATCAACATCGGGCGCGGCCCCCACGTGGATGAGCCCCAGCTGGTGGCGGCACTCGAGGAGGCCCGCCTGGGCGGGGCTGGGCTCGACGTGTTCGAAAGGGAGCCCGATGTGCCCGAGCGGCTCTTTGGGCTCGACAATGTGGTCTTGCTGCCGCATATGGGGAGCGGCACGGTGGAGACTCGCAAGGCCATGGCTGATCTCGTGCTTGGAAACTTGGAGGCTCATTTTGCCGGGAAGCCGCTTTCGACTCCAGTGGTTTGATTATGTAAGAAAAATTAGTTTGTAGTGCTCATAGTTCCATTCTTTTTTTTTTTAGTGTAAGACTTAGAAAATTCTCAAAACCATTTAATGTGAATGAAATTAATTTTAAGTTGTATATGTGGGATGTAAGGTTAGAACAATTGAGTTTAAGTAACTCAATTATTATTGGATTCACAAACATTTTGTATTTGACGAATGTTAGATAAGTCAAACGAGACCTGATCACGCAGTTTGCATGCTAGAACTTTAGAAGGTCTCGTTAGTGTTCTAGAAATCGCTAGGCGCCCGTTAGGCGCTCGACCAGCGCCTAGGCGGGGCTTAGTCGGCGTCTAGGCGGGACCTAGAAATCAAGATTAAATATTTTATTTTTTTATTTATTTTCACTATCTACAAACAAAACTATCTCAACTTACAATAAATCAACACACCTAAATCTAAATAATAATATTACTATATTATAAAGAAAACATGATAACAAAATAAATGTAATTAGTATTTAAAAAAAAATATATATTGAAAAACTTTGGCCGAGCCCGCATAGGCGCCGCAAAGCCGTCTGGCCACCGAGCACGCCTAGGAGCGCCTATGTCCGCCTAGCCGCCTCACTGATTTTTTCAGCCGATTTGTGCAAATTGAAGGCGGCCGGGCACCGCCTAGCGCCTAGGCGCCGCCTAGGCCGACTTTTAGAACAGAGGGTCTCGTTGGGGATGAATAGGAAAAAATGGAACTCGATTTTGAGTTCGGATGAGCTCGTACGAGCCCGCGGTGCACGGGCGCTTAGCTAGCCTCGGCCAGCAGAAGGTCGCAATGACCATATTGTGTCTTTCGGCCTTTAGATGCATCCGCTCTTTTTCGGGTACGCCTCAAAAGGTGTTTTTTGACACTTAAACCTCTCAGAAGTGTTTTCCTACATGTAGAAATACCATGAACTCATTCATAACTTGAAAAATTAACAACTCCTGCATTATATTTTTAAAGTTCGTAAAGCTATTGTGTTTTTTGATTTTCTCATTGAGTCTTGAGAGTTTTAAACAATAGTATTGTTCGCAGAACACTTGTATATTGGAAATATCGTTATATACAAATCGATAGTCGTTGTATCTTGGAGGCGTTTGCCGTTAACCCTGAGCATTTTACGGGACAATTTCGTCTTAAGGAAAATGTATTACGTGTCTCCTCTTTGATTTTGCTTTTGTTTTCTTCTTTCTCCTTAAGCCATCTTCTTGACATTCACAAACCAAACGCAAACTACAATCTCAAGATGATTTTTTTTTTTTAGTCCAAAAGATGGCAAACGAAGAAAACCAAACGTCTTCTTCAAATGCTAAACCGGTCGCTTCATCAGCTACTAATCCATTCACCCCGATGTAGTTGATCCCATCCAAAGTGCGGGACCGTCGAAGTTCAATGGCTCTGATTTGAAGGGATGACAAGAAAAAATGTTTTTCTATCTCAAAACTCTGTCCCTCTCTCGTTTACTTTCGGAGGACCCTTTGATCGTCCCTGAAAGTGAGACTGACATCAAAAAACGTACCACCTCGGATGCTTAGCATCACAATGATTTTTTTTTTTTATTATTTTTTTTTTTTTGTAGAATTCTAATACTTAACGGATTAGACAACACAATATATAATGTGTATAGTCCAGTTAAGATGTCTAAGGAGTTGTAAAACTCTTGGAAGCAACGTACAAATTGGAAAACAAAGACACTAAAAATAAATTTGTCTATAAATTCCTTAAGTATTGGTTGACACAAAGTTGGTGGTTAATCAAGTTCAAGTGATTCAAATCATCCTTCATGATATGTTGGCCAAGGGATTGATTGTGAACGGAGTCTTCCAAGTATTGACTATTGTTGAAAAGTTGTCTCTTTTGTGAAAGAGCTTCAAGAGTTATCTCATGCATAAACGCAAAGAAATAAAACTTGAGGATTTGATAGTTCGTCTTCGAATAAAAGAAGATAATTAAAAATCTGAAGTATTGGCCAAATGGAGTGAGATAGAGGCTAAGTACATATTAGCTGAGCCAAGCTCGAGAATGAAGCGCAAAAATGCTTTATGTAGTCAAAATTCTTGTCTTAACATTTTTAAAGCTACAATTTATATGATATTTGAATGAAACTTTTTATATTGTTTAGGACTTGTCTGTAAAAAGAAAAGTAAAAATAAGATTAATACGAGTGTAACGAATTTCACCCGACTCCTTCAACTCGAACGGCCTCCGTACCTGCAGAACCCAACGTCGGGGGTGGCCCCGGCGTCGGGCCTCCGATGCCTAAGTCAGTGCTCATATCAAGAGAGAGAGTGTAGTATGGAATGAATAGAGAATGAGAATATGAGGTACCTTGGCCCCTTTTTATAGGGGGAGTATACCTTTTGGGCCCAAGTTGGGCTTGACCCCTATCGTTGGGCTTAGATGTCTTAGTGGGCTTATCCTCCAATGGTATCCGCTTTATCCACTAAACCGGGTCCAGTATAATATCCTATATCATCTAGTCCCCCCACTCTGGTCGAGTAAGCGTAACTAGATCCAAGAGTGAAATACCTCTTCGAGCTGTT